AGTGGCATGATCTTGGCTCACTGCAGCTGCCGCCTCCTGGATTCCAGCAATTCTCCTGCCTCAGCCTCCCAAGTAGCTGGGATTACAGGCATGTGCCACCACACCTGGCTAATTTTTGTATTTTTGGTAGAGACGGGGTTTTACCATGTTGGTCAGGCTTGTCTCGAATTCCTGACCTCAGGTGATCCACCCGCCTTGGCCTCCCAAAGTGCTGGGATTACAGGTATAAGCCATTGTGCGGGGCCAGCAGGATTTTTTTTTCATCCTTGTGGTTCCGATGACTAGCCGAGGGCCTATGATAAATAGGTGCTCAGTAGACATTTGATGAATAAGCTAATTCATTAATGAAAATAAAAGGACTAGAGAAAGATGTGGATCTTGAAGTAGTAGCATCCCCACCTCCATTCTTATGAGAAGAATAGAGGAGCTAAGGACCAACCCCTGAAAGGACAGATAGCATTGAAAATTTAATAAATAAAGTTGGAAGCAAAAAATATATACATTCCACACAATTGTATGATTCCTGTGCTTTTTGTTGCCTCAAATGCCTCATTCCTTCTTCTTTTGGCCTTGTGCTTGAAGGCTGGCCCGCCAGCAGCTGTCTTAGAACATGAGATGACTTTAAATTTGGTGGCTAGATCTAGAAAGGAAGAGCATAAGGAGAGTAGGCAGCTAGGCCTGTGGATAGCAAAGAACCAAAATACCAGCACCTAACTGCCCAGCTCTGGGCAGCTTTTCCGGAGGGTTGCCTGTCTGTGTTTAGGCCACTGTTAGTTTGCGTTTTGTATCGTAAGCAGCTAAACCGAATCCAATGTAGAATGGTTTGCCTTCTGATAACTACCGTAAGTGCCCTAATGATTCTTTATCTTCTTAAATTTTATTTATCTATTTTTATACAGAATCTCACTGTCACTCAGGCTGGAGTTCAGTGATGCAATCATGGCTCACTGCAGCCTTGGCCTCTGAGGCTCAAGCATCCCCCCAACCTCACCCTCCCAAGCAGCTGGGACCATAGGCCTGTGCCACCACACCCAGCTATTTTTTTAATTTTTTTGGAGAGACAGGGTCTTGCCATGTTGTTCAGACTGGTCTCGAACTCAGAGCCTCAAGCAATCCTCCCGTCTCAGCCTCCTAAAGAGCTGAGATTACAGGTATGAGCCATTGCACCCAGAAACCCTGATGATTCTTAATCTGATTTTACTTTGATTTTTCTTCGTCAGCTTCTTAAGCAAACACTACGCTAAACTGTGTGGCAATCAAAGTAAAATCAGATTAAGAATCAGCTGCTTACAAACTTTCACTCCAATAGGATATTTCGAGAAATCGTGTGTAACCCTGCATCATGTCCTGTGGTAGGTAGAGTCTGTTACAAGAAAACAACACAAATGTGCTCCTGGTGGATCATAGAAGTGCTCAAGCTCTAGAACAGAACTCGCATGATCTTGCAAGTAGTGCACATCATTACTTGCCCTTTTATATCTTCAGTCTTTAGAAAGTCAGCCAGATATGGGAGTCCAAGAATCCTTCTAACCCTTGGAGCTCTTCTCTTCTCTTCTCCCTCCCTGTCCATGCATGATCCAGCTCCATCCTCCTGCTGTTCCTCGTGGTCCAGTGAGGAGACTCATTCCCTAAAGGTTCCTCTTCCTGGGAGGGTAGTGGACGCTGTCATTCTTCAACTTGAAATAACTCCTAAACAAACCCACCTCTGCCATGGGAACATGAATCCCACGCATGGCATAACTTCCATTTGTTATTAGGCTGGAATTTTCCACTTGCAATGGAATGAGGAGAGGAAGGAAATAAAGGGACAAAGGAGGAAGAGAACCCTATCCCACCAAGGGCATGTTATAATATATGTCCCCCAGGAGACTGTAAGTTAACTGAGGGAAAGCACCCCGCCTTCTTGCTCCTATCCCCAATATCTAGGAGAGTAGTACCAGACACATTCAACAATATTGCTGACTGAATGAGTGAGGAGTGATTGAATAAACAGATATGTAACAGCGACGCAATGTTTGCTGCTGCTGTGGTGGTTGTCCCAGTATCCGCTGCAATACAGTAGGAAGCGTGGATCTCAATGAATGCTTTCTGTAGTTAATGCTGTTCATACAAGATTAGTGATGCCAGAAAGGAAAGCAGTGACCTGATGATCCACAGCCACTCATTCACAGGCAGGGTCAGAAGTCAAGAGGAGTCTGGAGCGGCAGTGGAGTCTAAAGAGACTCAGTGGCTGTCACTCCCTTCCCACGTCCTGTAGCAAGGCTTCATCAGCATTTCTTCTTCTTCTGCCTTTGAATAATCCAGTTCCCATTGCGTGCATTGGCTCAAAAGTCAGAAAAGGAAGGAAGAATCCAAAAAAGCAACATAATGAGCACTGAACGACCTGAATCAAAAGCGTATGGTAATTGTATAGGAAGGAACTGTTATTTTTTCCCCATCACTGGTTTTGGTTTTTCTGCCTTTCATTGCATGAGAGTAAAACACTTTCACAGAGTAATTTGGAAAGTTCAAAATTTCTGGGCATGAAAAATGATTTTCATTCTTGGACAGATGTGATATATCTTCAGAGGTCATTTGTATCCAACTGCTATGCCTGTCTTTGAGAAATTTGACTTTAAAAATAAATTGTAGCCTGATACAAGACATGACAGCTTTCTGTACAGGGCCTTTGCTAAGTCTTCCTGCTTGGATTCAAAGATAGTAACTAAATGGCATACAAATACCTTGTGAAAATAGGTATTTTTTGTTTAACTATACCTGAAAAAATATAACTAGGTGTACAATTTTACAAAGAGATGACAAGTTGATATTTATTTTACGGAAGAGCTGGACATAATAACTTTGTTGTTACTTGGGATGTGTGTGTGCGTGTGTGTGTGTGTGTGTGTGTGTGTGTGTGTATTTATATGTTTACATACAGGGTTTGTCTCTGTTTGGGTCATCAGGCATCCACTTGGGATCTTGGAATGTATCTCCCATGGATAAGAGGGGGGCTACTGTATGTATAAAATTCAGTGGAAAAATCCCAGTGGGTGGGGAGTCCAGACAGAGGAAAAAGCCCAGCAGGGTTTATTAGTGATGGATTCCAATTTTTAAAAATGTGATAATTCAGTAAATGAGTAGTCATATTTTCCAAATGTGGATTTTTAGCTTGCCATTGACAGAAAAAGAAGCAGCAAAAAGGGGAACCACTCTTACACGCAAAATAACAGGAAGCAAACTCAGCCTAAAAACATTGACAGGTTGAGTTCCTGAGTGAATGCTGACTAGGATCCATAGGGTTTGCATAATAAGTATTTATAAATCCTTGAGATGAGTCACCATGGCATGACCGAATAGCAAACAAATACACACACACATTTTTCCTTTTAAGAAAACTTTAGGGTTTTATTCTGATGCCTCACAACAATGAAATGTTTTTTTTTTTTTTTTTCAGATGGAGTCTTGCTCTGTCACTCCGGCTGGAGCGCAGTGGCACAATCTTGGCTCATCACAACTTCCACCTCCCAGGTGCAAGTGATTCTCCTGCCTCAGCCTCCTGAGTAGCTGGGATTACAGGTGCCTGCCACCACGCCCAGCTAATTTTTGTAATTTGTTGTAGGGACAGGGTCTCACCATGTTGGCCAGGCTGGTCTTGAACTCCTGACCTCAGGTGATCAGCCCTCCTCGGTCTCCCAAAGTGCTAGGATTACAGGCATGAGCCACCGCACCTGACCAGCAACGAAATGATTTTTAAGGAAGTAGCAAAACAGCACAAGGGGAAATGTAAGGATTGGAACCCAAATGCTCCCTTCAGAGTCATTCACTCTTCAACCACTCTTCAGTCCTTGACCGTTCAACCGTTCCGGTCAGCACTGCCTGGAGCTGCCCCAGGAGCAAGAAGCCGTGCCTCTGCCCTGGGCTCCATCTCGCCTCCAAAGCCCATCATTATTCCTAGGGACTCTTTTCGCAATGTCTATCTGACTGTGATGAAGATAATACGAGTTACCGTGATTATTCTTGTATTGAGTGCTTAGCATGGGCCAGGTGCTATGTTGATAGCCTTAACCTGCGCTATCCCATTCACTCCTCACCACAGCCCTCTTTATATACAATTACTGTGGTTTCTTATTTAGCTAAACATTGCACTTCATAGAACACTGCATTGTTTTATGAAGTGTCTGGGTGCAGTGGCTCGCACCTGTCATCCCAGAACTTCAGGAGGCCAAGATCAGCCTGCGGAACAGAGTGAGAACCTGTATCTACAGAAAAATTTTAAAAATTAGCCAGGCATCGTGGTAGGTCCCTGTAGTCTCAGCTATTTGAGAGGGTGAGGTAGGAGGACCACTTGAACACTGGGAGTCAAGGAAGCAGTGAGCCGTGATCGTGCCACTGTACTCCAGCCTGGGCAACAGAGCAAGACCCTGCCTCAAAAAANAAAAAAAAAAAAAAAAAAAAGCCCAGGGGTGGAGTGGGGAACAGGAGTACTAATTTTTCCAGGGACACATAACTCAAAAGGCTTGATGAGCTAGGCTGCTTGTGATAACTATGATTACCACTCCTCCAACTGTAACTGCAAAAATTCATCCAGGTGAAGCTCCACAGCTGGAGCAGCACTCTTAGAGTTACCTCTGTTCTTATCAAGAAACAAATAGCTTTACACTGGTTGGTGAGAATAGGGTGGTAGCTTTCTTGGGGACAAGGAAAAGAGAGTATGAATAAAGAAATGAGAAAGGAAATGGTGCTTCCCATGGAGAGAAGAGAATGCTGGATTTCAAGTGCTTCTTGGACATTCTGGAAGAGAAAATTGGAACAACTCATTTTCTGTTCTTTCAAACACAATTTAGCCCTGCCCTGGCCCTAGAAGACAAACAGGATGCAGGGGCTTTGTTAGTCTCCCATGGTTGCTATTTTCTCTGTAACCAAAATGGCAAGAGAATACTTGATAAAACCAAGATGTAGCAAGAACTTACTGTCTGTCATTAGGCATTAAAGATGGGGTAAAAGGAACTAATACTTACAGAAAGCTGAGTAGGGTAGCATTTCTTGGCCTCAGGACTGTCATGGTCTAGTGGAAGGGACAGAGTGGCACAGGAATACCAATTAATCAGTAAAAGTGAAGTACAAAGAACTAAACATACAAACAAATGAACAATTGTCCCTTTTTTGGAAGCCCAAGGAAGGCACCATTTCAAGATTACATATGATCCAAGCCCTCTATAGGAGGGTTCCTGGGCATCCATGTCAAAAACAGACAGATCAAAAAAAAAAAAAAAAAAAAAAAAAAAAAAAAAAAAAAAAAAAAAAGGTACCAATGCATTTGATGCAGAACCAAGGTTGAGAACTGCCGAAAGAGGTTAGTGGAAACTGGATTTTGAAGCTGCAGCTTTTAGGCTCTCTGAGGCCGTGGAGCACTTGATTGCTGTGGGCCAGGTGTGATGGAGAAGGCCGCTTATCAGAGCAGCTGCAATGGGGGTGGGAAGGAAGAAACTAAAGACAGCAGAGACAGGAGGGAGAGGATGCAGAAAGAGACCTGCCGCATTGTGAACTCCCGAGGGTGGGCACTGACCTGTCTCTCCATCCCAGAGTGCCCAGTATGTGACTCACACAGGATGCCAACTGGACAGGTACTTGTTGAATAAATAATTGAACTGAGTAAATATATTTTAAAAATCTGGAAAACTTGGCAGCTGGGGCATAGAGTATCACCAAAACACAACAATGAAATTTCAGAAGGAAAACTATTTAGAGAAAAAACCTGAATTCAGTCTTAGACTTTTTAGGTTTAAGTAATCAGACATAATAATAGAAATCCAAACATCTGAGAAGTCTGTCTGATGTCGAGTCATAGGGCTCCTAAATTTCTGTATTTGTCACCCCTCCTATTTCATTTGTATGTGACCAGGAGACTAAAACATGCATTATGCTCCCAACAGGCTAAATCTATTCTGGGATCCACTGAATGTTACTAGAGGGACTGCTCCAGAGAATTCCTGATTGAATGACAGCGGCGCTAAGAACAGTAAGTCATGGTTGGAAGCAGTCAGGGAAGAATGGAGCTCAGATATCCTAAATTAAAATATAAAAGGCTCAAGTTATTGGGCATGTACATCTAAATTTCAAAGTAAAATGCCAGCATCCCACTATGCCTCCCGAATCCAGCACATTCTACCTAACACACACAGACACACACACACACACACACACACACACACACACCTCTTTCCCTCTGAGGCAATTATGGGCCCAAACTGAGTTTTTATGGAACCATAATACGGAAAGAAATGCCCAAGCTGAAGAGGTCAATGCACAATAATTTATCAGCAATCAATGCTCAACACTGACATCGTAACCTCTTAAATGTGCCATGTTGTCTACAGCTTGAATTTCTGTGTGGCTTCACATACGTTATTTGGATGAAGGCTGAATCTCTCACACGCTGGTTATCATAAACTGTGCAGTTGAAATTAATAGAATAGAGACGCCCTCTTTTTGGTGACTCACTAGTTTTCGGCTTCTGACTCATAGGTTTCTCTCTTTTGTTTTTTCACATTATTGATCAGTGAATATTCTAGTAGTCTAATTCATGTGTATTTCAGGGCTAAAAATGGAAGACTAACCTTGTCTGGGGAAAGGAGACAAATAGTGTTAACATCCAGGTGAAGAAGAGGTCAATTCAGAAGGGAAGCAGGGAAGAAGGGACTTCCCGGGAGAGCAGGCAAAAGCAGAGGACCTCGGGGGTAGCTGTTCCCCTAGCTATTCGGTACTTACACCATGCGCTCTGTCATATCTAGAAAACAGGAGAAGAAAAGCAATCACTGGGAAAAATATTAATACCATAGAGAGGAGAACTGTGTTTCATTACCTCAATTCCTATGATCCTTCATTAGTAAGGGAAGATACAGCATCCACAATAGAGAAAACATAAGTGCCTCAGAAATATAAAGTTGTCTATTTCTCTGAAGTCAAAATGACAACATCCTTGCTTATAAAGGAAATGTCCACTAACTTACAAATGAACCATCTACAAGAATTATTTGTTTAATTATATGACCCTCAGTTACTAATATGCCCTGGACACTGTAGTTTCTGTGGATTTCTCAGAAATTATGCTGAATATTATAGTCTGCTATGCTCTTACACCATACACCAGGACTCAAGTCAGACCATCAGTTCTTTGACACTTGTCTGCCTTCAAATCATCTTACCAAGTACCTGACCATTTTCCTTCCTTAGATCCTGAGGCCGTACCAGTCCTGGCATTCATATGGACTGTTAATATACCCACACTGTGCCTTTGTTTTCCTGTGTACAAATGAGGATAAATAAACTTAGGAAATTAGCAGTTTATGGCCATTTCCAGCATCCGCTTGCTGCTCCCATTTTCCCCTGGGAAATTTTCCTCCTGTCTCTTACAGCCCCTCCCCAGCCCCTCTGCCTTCCTGTGTTCTCTCCCTCTGTTAAATCAGCCACAGATATGATGTCATCAATTTTTCTTTGATGGAGACACTTTCACCCCACCTCTTTCAAATTTTCCTGTTCAACACCTTTTATCTCTACCTGTAAAATGAAATACTTTGTTTTCTGTTTAGAGTTTAAAGAATTTCTTAGCTGGACATTAAGCAGGAATCACTATAAATACCTTCAAGATAAATCTGTTACCTTTCAAAAAAAAAAAAAAAAAAGACGTTAAGCCCCTGAAAAAGAAGATGGTCCAAAAAGAAATTACATCCTTGAGCTCCTGCCTTCTTTTCTCTCTTTTCTTCTATCCCTTAAATCTCAGTCAGTTACTTCCCAGTCCTGTGTCTGAGGATGCCCAGCTGATCTGGATCCATGGCCATTCCATGGCACCCTCTCCCTCTCTACCAAGAGCAGAGAATCCAACTACAGCCCTGGAGAGGTCTATTAAACCAACTGGGAAGCTGTTATCAAACTACTGTTTCCTCCCAGTATATTCCCCCATCATTTGAATATGTTCCCACTGTGGTCATGGTTTTCTAAGCCTTATCCTCTTCCACCCTAATGAAGAATCAGGGCTCAAAGCCTGTTGGGGAAGGGAAGGAAGGAGAGATGTTTGTGACTGCCCTGTGGTCTAGTAATCACACAGGAGCACTTCAGATGGACAATCCACATTCAGCTGGCCTTGTGTCAGCATCCAGAACACTCAAGACAATGGCAACAAAGAGACATGCAGAGAGTCCTCACAGACTGGGATAAGGAGAGAGAGAGAGACCTGGCAGTATAGCAAGACATCAATAGATCCCTGAACTATGGACATAGTCTCCTACTGAGAGCTCAGGTATTAACATGCATGGACATCAATATGACCATGCTGATTAAACAATGTGGGGGATTAGGGGAACCAACCCCACAGAGTCATAATTCTGTGTTTAATTTTTGACTCTCCAGAAACTTAACTACTAATAATCTACTATTGACTGGAAACCTTACCGATAACATTGTTGTTGAACACATATGTTGTATGTTATATGTAATTTATATTGCATTATATTCTTACCATAAAGTAAGCTAGAGAAAAAAATGTGTTACTATTAAAATCATAAAGAAGAGAAAAAATATTTCATTAGGTGGAAGTGGAGTGGATCATCATAAAGGTCTTTATCCATATCCTCACTTTGAGTAGGCTGAGAAGGAAGAAGAGATGGATCTGGTCTTGCGGTGGCAGGGTGGGGCAGTGGGTAAGAGGCAGAAGAAAATCCACTTATAAGTGGACCTGTGCAGTAACTGAGTTATTCAAAGGTCAACTGTGTAGTTGCATCAGAAAACCTGTTAACGTAGACGGGCAGGTAGATGCTTACTAACAAAGTACAGCAGACGTAGACGAAAAGTTTGGTTGCTTAAAGTAATTAGGAAAGTGGTGGCGAGGTGGCATAATTTTTCCACCTCCCCAAATCACCCCATGGAAACAGAGCAACTAAGATAACACAAGCAAACCCCACAGACAAAGATCTGCAGTAAGGCAGTGGGAAAACACATCCCTATAAACCTCCAAATACGTGTGGGTTGGAATAAACTACTGGTGAGATTAAGACCTGCATGGTGTCCTCAACATGTCAGAGGAAATAAAAAGAGGAGAAAGGGCCTTCTGATGGCCCCAAGAAGCAGAGAAATGAAAACAGTTTCTCCACAAAGCTTGGTGGACCACTCAGGGAAGGACAGCCGAAACACCTAGAGTGCTGCTGCCTCCAACTTGTGAGTGAACTAGCTTGTGCTGGACAGTCTGGGCCCCATGGACCCTAAAGCGACCCGTAATAGCCAGAAACCCTCACTGAGGAGAAACTACTGGAATAGAATCCAAATTAAGCAGGAGAAAGACAATAGGAGCAAAGGAGGCAAAAGAAAGAAGATGCAGGTACAAGTGGAGGGAGGAGCAAAGAGCCAGCAGATAAAAGATACATATTTGTAACACATCCAGAAATAACAGAAAAGGCAGCTCTAAATCTCTAGGGCTAGGAAGCTCTCCTAGTTCATTCTTCTCTTCTAAGAGTCCAAGAAAACTCATCTCACTTAAACATTAATAAAGAAAAATGGCCGTCGAATTTATGATAAAGAAAAATGAATTGAGGAATGTAATGTCTCTGCAGACAATAAAAGCATGCCAGAAAGATATGCAAACAAAACAGAAGAAAATTCTAACCTAATATTTTACATCAACCTGGAAAAAAAAGATAGCCGCTTTGAAAGGACAGCATAACCCAGAATTTTAAAAACTCAGAAAGAAGCAGATTTGAAAAAACAAAGACTTGAAAAGGAGTTTATAAAAATAGAAAAATATTAGAATTGGAGGGAAAACTTATTTCAAAGTTTTAGGCTAGACTAGAAGAAACAAAATAGTGAATGAACACCACAGAAAGTTTCTTAAGAAAAATAGAAAAGGAAAGAATGAATAACTTTAAAATAAAAAGATTTAAAACATATATACAAAAAAGGCATAGACAATAGGAATAGGAGAACCAAGGAACATATAATAGAAGTTCCTAAAAAAGAAAATCAATGCAATGAAAGAACAAATGTTATCAATTATAGTTCAAAGACTACTTTTCTGACATAATACTTGTCCAACATTTGAAAGGACTTACTTGGCGAAATTGGCCCAGAATGGCCTACATATAAACATAGTCTGGTAAAACTACTGAACTTTAAAAAAGAAAAAAGTCTCTTTGGCACTAGTTAAAAGGTCAGTATCCCTTATAAGAGAAAGAAAATCAGATTGTCATCAGACTTTTTGACAGCAATGCTTTATGCCAGAAGACAATGGTGTAAAATATTTAAGAAACATTAAAGAAAGCAGATGTGAGCTGAAGATTTTATACCCAGAAACATTGATCTTTAAATACCATGGTCACAATTCTTAATAAACACACAAGAATTCAGGAAGTAATGTTCCTGTGAGCCTTTTCTGGGAAATTTATGGAGACTAAGCCTCAGGAAACCAATATGACTAAAGAGGTAACAATAGACTGGCAGTGAGCATTAAGTATACATTTTTTTGGATAACTCATAGTGCCTGTAGTTTATAAAGGAGAGAGTATAAAATGTGACGGCCATTTGCTCTATATACAATTAACTGTCAAAAAATGAGGGAGGGAGCATACATTGGAAAGACAATATAAACAGTGGAATAAGTTCTGTGACTGCCTCAAGGACACCAATGGAGAATAAAAACATATCTGTTGAAAACAGATGCCGGAGAACAGGGGAGAAGGTAAAGAAGAGGCTATTAGCTAATTTCAATTTTAGTCATAGTAGGATAGGGAAAAAAAAAAGTAAAAATGGGATTAAAATTATTATTTAGAGATGTTAATAAAATTATAGATTATATAATCAGAACAAAATAGTACAAACATTTCTAAATACAAAAAGAGGCTGGGTGCAGTGGCCCACACTTATAATCCCAGTTGTTTGGGAGGCTGAGGTGAGAGGATTGTTTGAGCTCAGGAGTTCAAGACAAGCCTGGGCAGCAAAGTGAGAACCCTATTCCCTACCAAAAAATTTAAAAAATTAGCCAGGCACAGTAGCATGTGCCTGTAGGCTCAGCTGTTTGGGATCCTGGGGCAGGACAATCCCTTGAGCCCAGAAGTTTCAGGTTGCAATGAGCTATGATGGCACTACTGCACTTTAGCCTAGATGACAGATTGAGACCCTGTCTCAAACACACACAAAACAAAAAGATAGGAGAGAGGACACATGCACGTGAGCAAATAATGCAGACAAGTGCTTCTCAGACTCTGTAGTGAAGGACCACTTTTTCCCCCCAATAATTTGTAAGCGACACTTGTGAAATACAAAATATGCTTGACTCTAGTGGCAATATCAAATTATTTTAAATATTTCTAAATGTGTTTGGTGGTGGTTGTTTTGTTACTTTCTATTTACAAGCCATCATAGCTTGGTAGCAAACAGCTCAGGGAGCAGCCTTGATACAGACCACATCGGAAAAGAGTAGAAACATAAGGCAATAACAATAGAGGTAGTCACCGGTATAGAGATATGAATATGTTTGCATGCTTGTATGGATGGAAATACATGTAACAAATGTGACAAAAGTGATGCCAAGCATTTGGATCCTAAAAATAAATTTACCAATTAAATTTAGTTTTTAAAAAGATTTCCAGATCACCTAACAAAGCAAAATTCAACACTCCAGGGTACTATATAAATATAGACTTTTAATAATAATATATATGTTTCTTTCAGGTAGAGAAAAGTCTTTACGGTATGCTACCAATCTAATAGAGGAGAGTGGAGATAAAAAAAATATACAAATATATATCAATTTTGTATAATTATAGCTTAATATACTAATGGACATATAAATTACAGCATTTACACATAAAATATTTCAAGGTAGTGGAAGGAAATAAGGTTGAGGAGACAAGGAGAAAAACTAGGCTTGTTTTGTAAATTTGGCTTTAGAGTCATGTGCATCTTTGCAATATAATAAAGTGAAATTAAATTTAAAGTGATTCCTAAACATCAAAAGTAAAATAAGACAGTTGAGCCCGTCTATCCAGTAGGTGGCAGAACAGCACCAAAGGGACTATTCCAAGTGACTTTAAAACACAGTAATTTAACTGTGTTAGCAGAATGTTATCATAAGGACAAAAACAACTGCAAAGTGTCTTAAGCTGATTTTTGTAATCATTTTGCTGGTGGTAGTCTGATATTTATTTGAGACTGTTGCGTGTGTGTATTATGAATACAGTAAATGAATAATTATATTCATGTCAATAAAATTTGAAATTTGGCATGGGAAAAGGAGACGGTAAAAAAATCCTCCACTTGAATTTGAATAGGAAATATTATCATGAATTCATGATGAATATTATTTTATAAATCCGTGTTTTCTAGCATTGTTCTCTGAAAAGACTTAGAACATGCTCAACCCTTCACACACAGATAATGTTCTCTACATACCATTTTCCACTAAAAGGAATCAAAGGTTCCCTGAAGAAAGAGCTGATTACAGGTCTGTGGAAGGAAGTGTACAAGATGGACGTGGAATATCATAAACTGCTTTGGTGATATCAGAACTCTGCTATTAAGTTAAAAGAGGTTCTCTGTCCAAAGATGGGAAAATTTGAACAATAGTAAATGTAATAACTGCAATGAATTGAAACATATCAAATATTAAAAGTCATGAATTCCTAATCATATTGTCAAAATAAAATGCTATTGATCATCCTTGGAAAATGCAAGGAAACCAAAATCATTATTTTAAAACTAGCAAATAAAATGAAGCGATCAAACATTTATTCTAACTTCCCTATGCATATTATTCCAAGTAACCAAGTAGTTGATGAGATGTTTCTCTTGATAGAAGTATTCCATCTAATAAATGAAGAAAGAATTTTAAAATTGTAGTATCACTGCTTTGCAACCTTTAGTGAATTATTGGGTGTAAACAATGGTAATCAATGACTACCAACCTCACAAAAAGGCCACCAGACATGTGCTTCTGGATGGAGGTACACACCACCACCTATGAGGTATTTTTGCCAAAAATTGAATTTCAATCTGATGATGTCCCTGGGTCTACTGTATTCAGTACTAGCCCCATGTGGCTACTGAGCATTTGAAATGTGGATAGGGCAAATTGAGATGCTCTGTACATGTAAAATATACACCAGATAGCAAAACTTAATATGAGAAAAGGATGTAAACTATCTCAATAATTTTTAATATTGACAACATATATAATGTTTCTGACACATTGGGTTAAACAAAATTATATTATCAATATTAATTTTAATTATTTTTACTTTTTAAAAATGTGTATTATAAAATCTAAAATTATATTTGTGGCTCATATTTCTATTGTATTGTGCTGTTCTTAATCCTAACTACAACTTATGGGAAATACGCTGGACAGAGGAACATGTTAAATGACACCAGAAGGATAGAAACAGCAAATACCAGGCTTTAGAAAACTCTGCAACTTACATTTCTAATCCATTTTAATGGTGGAGTCAAAGTTACGAAAAATTTATGAACATGAGCACTGTAATTAATATGTAAGGTAGTCATAAATATCAATATCTGTGAAATCATAATTTGATATCTCAGTTTCATTTTCACTATTGCTCAAATAATGCATAACAATAAAAAGCCTATATCTTTGCATTGCCTGATTTATCACCAGTGGTGTTTGCACTGCATTATGGAAAACACTGATATATTTTCAATTTTTAATAATGTGAAAACTTGATTATCTCAGTTTTTTCAGATAGATGAATACATAGTTATGATTTCTATGCTGTTAGAAAGCCTTTATTTTTTTAACCAACAAAATTAATTTTAATAATACATTTTGACATAATATATCTAAATATCAATTTCAACATGTACTAAATATAGCAATTATTAATGAGAAATATTACATTCTTTTGGCTTTGTACTAAACATTTGAAATGTGGTTTACATTTTTCACTTATAGTATCAAATGCTAAATTTATTTATTTATTATTTTTTTTTGTATTTTTAGTAGAGACGGGGTTTCACCATGTTGGCCAGGATGGTCTCGATTTCTTGACCTCGTGATCCGCCCGCCTCGGCCTCCCAAAGTGCTGGGATTACAGGCGTGAGCCACGCACCTGGCCACAAACGCTAAATTTTTATTAGAAATATTTAATCTAGATAGATAGCTTAAAATTTACATTTGAAAAAAAAAATAGATTCAGATACCTACGTTGTTACAAGTATATTTAAAAGTTTTCAATGACTGAATTGAGTATCAATTTTTAAATTTAAATCAATGAAATTAATTACAATTAAATGAAAATTTAGAAACTCCTTCCTCAGTCACACTAGCCACATTTCAAGTAGAATTCCTTTGTTTCAAATTCACTTTGTCCTAAAGCTGCAAGTTGAATTTCTACATCTCATCATAATTGACTTATTTAAAATATTTTTTAATTAAAACATAATACGAAACCACTTAGATATGTAAAATTTAAAAATTCTCCCTTTTACTCTCCCATCTTTACTATTTTCCCCAAATTTGAGATCAAATTAAAAAATATATTCAAAATGTTTCTAACTGTAAAAGTTAAGCATTGAATTAGGCTTGCTCAGACTTCATTTTTAATACAATATTTCTTACATACCTAACATAATAGGTGCTCAAAAATATTAGGTAATTTGTCTCTGTTTATTAAATCAGGAATTTTTTAATAGTATCTGAACTTTTGTTTTTTCTCATTTATGAGAAAAAATCATTCCAGTTTAGCATGCTTTAATATCTTATTGGGATAACTAAATAATATAAAATGTCTAAATAACTTATAGAAAGATAACTTACATCCTCTATAGCAAAATACTGATACAGTGTATATATTGAAAGTAACGTTGCACTAAAGCGGGTGAACACTAGGGGGCAGTGTTGTTAGTGCAGAACTCTCCAGAGGCTTGGAAAGGAGCGCTCAAATCAATTCCAAAACCTAAAATGCAATAAATTAAATAAATGGGAAATAATAATAATAATAATAATAATACTCAAAAAAAAAAGAAAAAATATCAATTACCCAACAGCTAGCGCGATAAATGGGGTCTAATAGCAACAAAAGAACGTGTTCGTTTAACTTTACTTTGTGAAGTTATAAGGACCATATACATATTATTCACAAGGTGTTGGAGGAGATGCTTTGTTCAAACCCTGAGCCCTTATGAGGTTGGATTCAAGCTCTTTCTGGAAAAGTCTTCCTTATGGAATTTTCTGTCCCAAAGAAGACACAAAAGAGTAGGCAATGTCAGAAAGTAACAATTCATAAATACTAACTCCAAGTGCGTGTATAATATTTAGTTCCTACCTCATTTTATCCTTTACTCGTATCCACCATTCCTTTTATTTTCTTCCACTCGCTCAGGCTTCTTTGCAGCACGGTCATTTTTAGAATATTCTGAGAGCATCTTAGCTCTCACTCCAACTTTCTCTTTCCACCCTCAATTCATTTTAACTCAGAATTCCAAAGCAATAAAACTGTATTAAGTAACTAATCCATAATGCCAGCCACTACCTAAAAGGATAGAACCAAAAACAAAAAAAAAAAAAAAAAAAAAAAAAAAAAAAAAAAAAAAAAAAACCTAGGAAAACTTATGTACATTTTCTAAAGTTACATTGTTGTCTATTTTAAGGGCATAAAATTCTTTTGAGGAGTGACTTTAAGCTACATTTTGCAAAAAGTATTGAGCATAATGTATAGATGCTTAATATATGATGAGGTAAACATTTACACCTCAGACTTGGAACAGGCAGACAGCTAAGTTCTCTTACTTTTTAAATATGCAATGAATTTTCTAACAGGTAACAAATCAATTTTTGTTTCTCTTTTAGAAAATTAAAATCTATATGTATTAAAGAGCTGTGCTCCAAATTGTGAGTCTGGCCTACTTAAATCTGAATAAATCATTCTAGAGAGTTGACATTATTTAGTTTTGAACAATTCTTGAAGTCTGTTTGGACTTCATAATTTAGCAGCAGGTGGTTCTTGTGGTTTTAAAAGTCCATGATTAATTAATCCTAGTTAGTTTTTAGTCATCTCTTCAGATCTTTTGTACCCGGAATTTCTATAGCCTATTTACCTGAAATTGTATAAATAATAAATGGTTCACCCTCCTCCGTATAGTAGCAAGCATCCGGGTTTTTGCAACTTGAAATTTCAGCTCCTCTCAGCCTCTATCAGGTGTGAGATATTTTTAGCCTCCCTCTATCAGTCAGAATCCCATGGAAGGGAAGTCCCATTCAAGAGGGTTGAGGCGAATTTAAAGAAGGGTCTGTTTACAGAGCAGTGGTCAGAGTTAAGAAAATACAGACAGAGAGGCCAAGGGACCCAGAGGTGAGCACAATGGGAAGCCCTCACCACTGTAGGCCTGAAGAGTCAGACTAGAGGAAGGAACGGGGTTCCCAAGCCTGTGGTCACTAGAGCTGTGGACAGGCTGCCATCGCTGGGGGGCCGATTGCTGCTGAAACACCAGCACAGGGAGGAGTGGCACAGAAGGACCCAGAGCTGTCTCTCCCCCACCCTCAGCCCCCTGGCCAGGGCCTCACCTGGACCGCCCAGATCGAGGCAGGGAAGAGCCAAGCACTGGGGAAGGTGGCCTAGGAAAGGGAGGGTGACAGGCCGCTGAATGTTCTCACTCTTAATAAACAGAGTTTTACCCTTCGAGGGGGTCGTTGTGGTTCTTCTCTCCTTATCTTTTTACTTCACTCACCACATTCTTACCAAACCAAAGGGAAAACAACAGTGAAAGGAAAGTCTTCCTTACACACGTCAGGCTTTTAGACAGAACCTTTTTTTCCTCATCTCATATATCTTGTCTTTTGTTTGGTTCAAAAGGAAGCATTTTCTACTCTATAAAAGCCTAAAACTTTGTCTTCGCAACCTCTCGCTGTGATGAGCTTTGACGTGGGTCTTAAGCCCATTTAAAAGATGCTGCACCCTGATTTTGCTGCTGCACCCTGCTTTGGAGAAGCTTAGTCAGTGATCCCATGAGAAGGGAACCTGTGAGAGATTCATTTTCTCCTGAATCGCTTAGGAGGTCTCACTAAAGCCCCTGCTAAACTCATCATCCCCAGCCTGGACCATGTTTGGTTAATTTCCAGTTTTTCCTTTCCTTACGATAACCCACTTGAAACTCCAGCAAGGGGGAAAAAAATCAAATGCAAAACATGTTGTGACTTTTATAAGCTATTGCTCTCCTTGCCCCACGCTCACCCCCTCCCTTTCTCCCCTTCCTGACTTTTACTGAAAGGAGGAAAGACAAGGAAATCTCAATGGCTTCATTCTCAGCACACATTCTAAGTCTGTCATTAAATGACCACTGATTTTGTCGCGTACGTATGAACAGAACTCTGTAAGAGAGCAATTGATTAAAGCCAATGACTTTCTTTCAAAGAGCATTTGCTGCTCTGAAATGGAATCAGTGAATAAAAATTTATTCTGTTATTTTCTTTTTTTCTAAGAGTCCTCTCCATTTTTCAAAAGAAGCCTGTCTTATCTTGTTTCCAAACCTTTTCCCTTTCCTTCCCCTGTGCTGTGGATTTCCTACCTTCTTCCCACTTGAGTCGCCGGTGCAAGAAGGGGGTTCCTGCTTGGGTCCCCACACCAGTAGGTTTTGTCTCTTCATCTGCTTGTCTTCTGAAGATAAATCCTTGGCAGAACTGGAAAAAAAAAAAAAAAAAATCACGGAATGGCTTTTTTACATTTCTGCCAGGGGGAGGCTATTTTGTAATCCTTTTGCAGCCTTCTTGAGCACAACCCAATCCCAAGCTGACTTATCTCCTTAACTGTTTAGAGCAAAATTAAAAACTGGATTTTCTTACCTGCCCCAGGAGCAGATGTAACGGGGCTGAGTTGTCTTGTGAATTGCCAGGCTTCTGAGTTGTCTTGTGAATTGCCAGGTTCCTTTTCTTTCACGAACAGATCTTAAAGGTCTTCCAGGGACCCCTATTAGCTAAATAGTCTGGATCGTTATTACAGAGAAATTGTAACTCTTTTTGAAAGTCTTTGTGCACTCAAACATGCCAATATTTATAGTTCAGTTTATTTGTCCAGGTTGTACAAGTTGCTAACAATGAAACTCCATTTATTTATTTGTTTGTTTGTTTATTTATTTAGAGACAGGGTCTGGCTCTGTCACCAGGGTAGAGTGCAGTGGCACAATCATGGCTCACTGCAGCCTCTGACTCTCAGGTTCAAGCGATCCTCCCACCTCAGCCTCCCTGGTAGCTGAGACTACAGGTGTGCACCCCCACGTCTGGCTAATTTTTGTATTCTTTGTAGAAAACAGGTTTTTCCCTGTTTCCCAGGCTGATCTGGAACTCCTGGACTCAAGTATTCCACCCGCCTCAGCCTCTTGAAGTGCTGGGATTACAGGCAAGAGCCACCGTACCCAGCCAAGACTCCATTTAAATAGGTGGCTTTTATGTGAATTATTAATTTTGATAGAATAGAAAAGCTGACAGATCTATGTTTTAAAATCATTTTATGAATTCAGTTCAAAAGAACAACTAGGGCCACCAGACTTCCCTACTTTACAAAGTAACGGCCTGGCCAAGGATATTCCAAACAAGAAACCTTTTCAAACTGTGCTTTAGATCATTAACACATGGAGAGCAATATAAGCAAACCAATATAATGAGGCACACTAAGTAGGCGATTTTTAATGAACATTTTCAAAGCATAGGGAAAGAAGCCACAAAGAGTCAAAGGATTTTTCCATACATACTGCCTTATTAATCTAGAGTTCTCTTGTTTATTTCAAAACTATGTGATTGGATTAACCATCAGGAGAGAGAAGTACTCTGTATTACAAAAGCTCAGTCTCTGGAGATGAAAATCTCTTCAATTTGACATTTTTCAAAATATCACAAAGAAATGCATTTTTCTGTGGTCTTCAATAAAGAAAGCGTGTCAAGGCAAGACACACACGAAAAGAAGTCAAAGTGGTTAGTTATAATGGGATAAGCAACAGCTAAACTGAAAAATTCTACATGTAATGCAGTTTTCTTTTTGAGTGGAAAAGGGCAGGACAAGATATGAGATTCCTGGTCTGGAGGGTGGGCGAGATATTAGCATATTAAAGCAGGAATGTGTGAAACATGCATTGTGTACTTTCAGCTGTCTCAGCCCATATCAGGCATAGCTCTGGGGAGAAGGGAGAAGGGCTGTTAATATCAACCAGAAAGTATCCCTGGGATTCTTCAGGCTGCTTGGGCAGTCAGCCTCCAGAAGAGACCCCACTCAACTCTGGGTCAACCATGCACACTGGCCCCTCACCACCTCTGTGATGTGATTCCAAGAAGGACGCTAACCCATAGGTTCCCACCACTGCCACCGGGCAAGATCTGAAATTCCCCTGACAAAGCTTCCTTATTAGCATAAAGCTTTGACTCATGAAATAAACCAACTGCGTCTCTTACCCTTTTCCTTGAACTCTACCCTCCTACCCAAAATATACAGAGAAGGAGATGAGCAAATACAAATATATAAGGATTCAGTTTAATTCTAATCAATTTGATATTTATTGAAAAAGTCTGAGCAAGACATTATTAAAAATACTATAAAATCTCAGAACGGGCTGCTGCTTTAGGGATACAAGAAATGAGGTCTTTTTTTTTAAACTTCAAATCAAGACTGACAAGTTAACATTTATTTGGGGGGATCACTAAGACAAAAGAGTTGAAGTCTGAGATGGACGGTTAATGTTGCGTAAAACTCACTGGTCAAGCTACACATCCTGTTTGGATTCATTTGTCATCCTTGATGAGTTATCATACAACGGGGTGTGGATGCAGCCTCCCTGTGGATACCTCAGTGGACAGGAAGTCTTCCTTTTCTTCATTGACACACAGCCTCCTAGGCCTGCCACTTACTAGCTCTGTTCCTGCCAATAAAGGCTACAGGAATTAGTGGAATCCCTCTCTCCTGTGCTTTTCCACTTTATTAAAACATAGGAGGCCGGGCGCGGTGGCTCACGCCTATAATCCCAGCACTTTGGGAGGCCGAGGCGGGTAGATCACGAGATCAAGAGATCAAGACCATCCTGGTCAACATGGTGAAACCCCGTCTCTACTAAAAATACAAAAATTAGCTGGGCATGGTGGCGTGCGCCTGTAGTCCCAGCTACTCGGGAGGCTGAGGCAGGAGAATTGCTTGGAACCTAGGAGGCAGAGGTTGTGGTGAGCCGAGATCACGCCATTGCACTCCGGCCTGGGTAACGAGTGAAACTCCATCTCAAAAANGGCAGGAGAATTGCTTGAACCCAGGAGGCGGAGGTTGCAGTGAGCCGAGATTGCGCCATTGCACTCCAGCCTGGGTAACAAGAGCGAAACTCTGTCTCAAAAAAAAAACAACAAAAAACAGGAACGCTCAGAACCTTCTCCTCCTCATCCCATGCAGCTTTACCCTCTCACATGATAAAGTTTCCATTTCCCAACTCTGCTGGACTCACTGAGAAAAGACAGTGCCATCCACCAGCAAGGACCTGAGCTTGGCTGCTCCAGGGAACCAGGAACAATGGCCAGCAAATCCCTCCCTACAGGAACACAGGGACCAGGCCCTGGGAGGGAGAAGCACTGACGCCAAGCAACCCAGTGCCTCAGAAGCACAGCAGTGGAGGCCGGGGGAAGCGGGCAGAGCCTGCAATGCCTCCCATAAACCCATGTTCCAGAAAAGGACAGCGACGAGGAGTTTCATGCTCTGATTTGCATCCAGCTGTTTATCCCAGTTAAGCCCTGGCAGTCAGGAGCTGTAGCTCAGGAAATGTCTGAACACATTTACAGCTACCCAGAACCACAGCCATGGACTGGCATTAAAATTGATTTCCAGGTCTGCTTGAAAGTGAAGAAACAAACAGTAAAAGCCAGGGGTCCCCAACCCCCAGACTACAGACTGGTACTGGTACAGTACACAATGCATCTTTCAGACATTACTGTGGTATGGATCTGTGGCCTGTGAGGAACCGGGCTGCACAGGATGAGGTGAGTGGAAGCTTCATCTGTATTTACAGCCACTCCCCATCGCTTGCATTACTGCCTGAGCTCCGCCACTGATCAGATCAGCGGCAGCATTAAATTGTCATGGGAGCACCAACCCTATTGTGAACTGTGATTGCAAGGGATCTAGATTGCACACTCCTTGTGAGAATCTAATGCCTGATGATCTGAGGTGGGGCTGAGGCAGTAATCCGATCACTGGGGAGTGGCCGCAAATACAGATTAACGTTAGCAGAGAGGTGTGACTGCACAGAGACCTTAATAAATCAATTGCTTGCAGACTCATACCAAAATCCTGTCAGTAAGTGGCAAGTGACAATTAAGCTGCATCTGGTGACAGGCTTTATAGTGGCAAGTGAGTTGATGTGCTTCAATTGTATAGCTGCATCTAGTGGCCTTAAAAGCATGTTTGAGACAACTTCAAGTTCCCATATGTTCTGGATTAAAGTGAAGGCAGAATATCCTGAGATTGCAGTGACAGCAACCAAAATGACATTACAGAGTAAACTGGACATAAACAACACTCTCTGGTGTCACTGTCTCTCATCACCCCCAGATGGAACCATCTAGTTGCAGGGAAGCAAGCTCAGGTCTCCCATTGATTCTACCTTATGGTGAGTTGTATAGTTATTCCATTATATATTACAATGTAATGACAGAAATAAAGTACACAATAAATGTAATGGGCTTGAATCATCCCATAACCGTCCCCCAACCTGGTCCATAGAAAAATTGTCTCCCATGAGACCAGTCCCTGGTGCCAAAAAGGCTGGGGACCACTGGTATAAGCCACAGAAAAAGTACATACATCGTTGCCGCTGTTAGTCTAATGATTTCAAGATAAAATCCAAAAGTTAAAGACAAAACGCTCTTTAAAATAGGCATAGGAATCTGTAATTGGAGCACATAAGAAAAACAATATCATGATTACATTTCATTAAACAGTCATTGTAGGAATGTTAGCTTTGAATAAATTATAACCTCAAATGTATCTAAGAAAATTATAAAAGTGAAAATATCTCTGAACATGCTCTTTTTAGACTTTAATAACTGTAACAATAATTATAACATAGACACAGTTCTGTGGATGAAGTGAGTTCAAACACGCAAAGCACTTAGAACAATGCCTGTACCGAGAAGGCCCAATATAGCTATTTGTTCTTGGTAGGTAGGTGCCATTCTTTTTGTTCATTGTAGTTATAATTTTATTTTAGAATGTTTAAATAGGATGAAAGATTAGTGCTCATTGAAGTCAGTGGGGTTTTCTTCCAATTTTTTTTTTAAGCAGCAAAATCCATTTTTCAAAATCCTTTCTCCGAACAACCCAGGACATGGGGACCCCAGGGAGTAGGCCTGGAGGAGGAGCTGCTCTGCAGGGGTGGGGCCAGATTTCTATATCAGCAATCTCCCCTGGAGGCAACTCTGGAACCAGTCCTAACACTAAGCTAAGGTACTCTACCATTTGACAGATGAGGAAAATATACCCTACGGAGGTAAATAAACCTAGGGAGGCAAATGCTCTCGTTCTCCAAGCTAGCACAGTCAGATTGCGTTCCAGAAAATAATACCTAACACACCTGGAAACAAGTGCTATTTGCAGGATGATATTCAAGATATTTAACCACTATCCAATCAAAATAGCTCTGCGTAGTCAGAGCCTCATC